CTTCTCTACAGTAGAGAAGTTCTATCCTCCCCCTTATCCAACCGACCATTTTGAATGGAAGGTTAAGATTGCCCCAATCAACAATATCACGTCCTTACGCTATTCTATTTTTAATTTTTTTTCTATAAACTATTTTGGCACCAAATTTTTACGTCCATTCCTCTATTAAACTCACACTAGCTAAAAATATAAAAAAAATATTTTCAATAAAATAAAATGACCAAAATACCCTTAAAAGTTTCAAAAGGGTATTTTAATCATTATATTTTATCGAAAAATTATTTTTAATATTTTTTTATAAGTGCATCCCAATGAGAAGATGGCACATACTAAATTTTATATTTATACAATTTGTATAAAAAAAAACTAAAAATAAAATATTGAGACGTCAGATCTAAGATCAAATGGTGAGTAACTCTCTTGATCAAAATTGGACAGCTGGATAATAAGAGAAGGATAAAACTTCTATGCTGTAGGAGAAACATAGAAACAGGGTGCATACATGTTATAATCCATCATTGCTAAAAGAATCAACACTCGATAAATCAAAGAGTAGAGGCTCAGATTCACCCAAGTCGCTCAAACCCCGCAAGGTGCCAGGTCGAATAACCCTAAAGTCATGCAAATCCGAACTCCGAACAAAGTTCGAAATCCCTATATATTTTTCTATGGAGACTCAGTTGTCTGACTCAGCCTTTAACTCGAGCCCCGGACCCCGGTAAGTCCACGCCTCAACCCAATTTTATAAGCATTGCTGTAAAGATCATGTCACATACAAACAATATACTGCAGGTATCAAGGTTCAACTTTCTTCATTTATTTATCAAATTCCCAACTTATCAAACAAATTAATAAATGATTATATACCACAACACTATTTATTTTTTATACAAAAAAGTCACAATCACTCTTAGGAATTGGATGTAAAATCCAATAGATTGATGTATATTATATAACCATTCAAAAAAAAAAAATTCTTATTGTCAACTTTAATATCCAATCACTGACATCTCAAACCACCCAATTTTACATCTAACGATCAATAATGATAGTGACCTCCTTATATTGAAAGTAAATGGCCTTGTTATATATATTTCCTTTTACATTGTTATATGAAAAAGTATCTCGTCCACATCTTTTCTATGCTTGTAAAAATAAAGTCAAATTTCCAAAAATAGTAACAAAATAAAGGCACCCCTCATAGCTTACTTTGAAGGCGAACCGGCCAACATATCACTAAAGCCCCATTTATTATCCTTAGGAAACCTACAATTTCTCTAACTGATATTGATCCAAGTTATCCCTCACAATAACCAAATAAATCAAGATAAAACAAAAATGGCATTGTTCAAACACAAAGTAGGAGAAAAAAAGAAAAAACACTGTAGTTTTAGGCTGGGACCTTGGATGTTTCGGCCTTGGGTATGGCAAGCTCTGCAAAAACAGGGCTATCGATCCCAACTCCCATAGCATGTAACCCATTGTCGACGTATGTGACTGTACCTGTAATGGCTGAGGCCAAGGGCGATACCAAGAAAGCAGCAGCATTTCCAACCTCATCTGCAAAAGCAGAGTTCCAAATCCTCATTTCCCTTCTTCTTTACAAGGTTTTTATTATTTTCTTTCATTTTCAATTTTCTGAAATTGCTTTTTAAGCAGCAAAAAAAGAGGATTTATCTCATCTTCACAATATAACTCATAAAGGTTCAAATTGATCTACCAAGCTAAACTACACAGAAATATTTGAGAGAGTGAACTTGCAAGCAACTGATCATTTCCCCAAAACTTTCAATCTATACTAGAAAACCTGAAAGCACAAGCATGTTGTGTTTTTACTGTGAACTTTACTTTGATCAATTACCTGCGAATAACTCTTTCTGCAATGGGGCATTTACTGCAGAGTACTCAATCATCCTGTCAATGAATCCGATGGCTTTTGCAGCACGACTTCCCAATGGACCTGTAAAAAATAAATCCACAATGAAAATATCTTCACATAGCAGCTACTATAATGACATGTTCAATAAGGCATGCCAAATGCACTAGACACATCTTGATATGCAAGACAATCACATAATAAAAATATGAAAAAAATAATTCGTAAACTATAAATTGACCAAAATACCCCCAAAAATTTTGCATCATTCTGATTTGTAGAAAAAAAACGAAAAATGAAACACCACCAGACAACTGTGACCGTGCGATGAAGTTTGAATGGTGATGAAAGTAAACGAAATCATATATATCTATAAGGTTGCAACGTTAAACAATCCAATTAAAGTGCATCTCCAAATTTTATCTTAACATGTAATTTTGGTATAAAACATTATTAGAAATATCTGAAAATCTATTTTTATATCTAGTTATAAAGTTTTAAACTCAAAAAGTGGCTAAAATCTAGTAGATATATAAATATATGAAAATCTTGAAAATGGACAGTCTAGATAATGTGTTGCAAGATGTACTATTTTCGGGACTCGAAATTCTTTTTTTTGTTCATATTCATACATCTAGATGTTGAGATGATCGATTGCAGGGTTTTCAACATTAAAACAACTTTTTCCGATAGATTTTTGACGCACATCTGTAATTCTACATTTTAAGGTTGCAACGTTATATAAACTTTTTCCTATATATACATATGGGAAAGCTTTCTATGTTCCCCTACAACATAGAAGTTCTATCCTCCTCCTTATCAACCCGTTCATTTTTTAATGGAGGGCTAAGATCACCCCAATCACAATGTCACATCTCCACACTGTTTTATATTTAAATGTTTTTCTATAAATTGTTTT